ATTTTGTTGAGTGTCCTCCCTATGAGAGCTGTGGCAGGAAAGGCAGGAGATCATCTGGCCACTGGTGGGACAATGCGTCGACTCCTTCCACTGCTGGGTCTTGGTATCCGGACAGGAACCTCTCGACCTGGTGGTTGAGTTTGCCAGCAGGTCCAACAGTTGATACTGTAAGCCACCTCCGCTGCCGACCATCTGCCCTGTGCCAGGAGATGCCTGCAGTGGGCACCCCAGCCCCTCTTGCTCGTGTCCGTTGTGATCATGACATGATGATGGTGCAGGAAAGTGATGGCCTTGCTCAGGTTCGATTGAGTAGACCACCATTCTAGCTTCCTCATGAATCCTTCCATCATTTCTACTGGGAGGTGTTTTTTCCAAGAGATATCCTTTTGGAACGGGAGAAGAGCCCACTGTAAGGCTCTGGCATGGAGCCAAGCCCATGGGACCAAGTCTATCATTGAAATCATCAGGCCCTGCAGGGCTGCCAGGCACACCAGGTCTGCTGTTTTCTTGGACCTGATGCTCTGTACCAAGGCCTGGATCTTTTGCCGCTTCTCCTCTGGTAAGGAGACCGTGGCCTGCTTTGTGTTCAGCCTGGCTCCCAGGTGCACTAGATCTTGAGAGGGGGTGACATTGCTCTTTTCCCCGTTGATGAGGAATCCATGGGCACACAGTACGTCTGCCGCTCTCTGTGTATTGTACAATGCTGTCTGGTAGTCCTCTGCCCGTATCAGGACACCATCTAAATACGAGTATAGGTGAATCCCCTCCAGACGCAGAGATGCCACCAGAGTAACCATGACCTTGGTAAAGACTCTGGGTGCCGATGAAAGGCCAAAGGGCAAGGCCTTGTACTGGGAATGCTGTTCCTGGAAACAGAAGCACAGGAATTGTTTGGAGTCTGGGTGCACCGGGATGTGCAAATACGCCTCCTTGAGGTCCATGGAGGTCAGGAAGTCCCCTTGTGGCAGGATTTGCAACATGTGATGTAGTGATTCCATCTGGAATTTTCTTTTTCTGACCCATCTGTTGAGGCCTCGCAGGTTCAGAACTTCCCTCCAGTCCCCTGACTTCTTTGGAACCACGAAGAGGACGGAGTACAAACCCTTGAAATGCTGGTCTTTGGGGACTTCTTCTATGGCACCTATGTCCCTCAAGAGCAGGATAGCCTTTTGCAATTGAAGTAGTCTGGCCGTTTGTTTTGGGGATAGTGAGGTTCTGAAGCTCTGAAGCAGTGTGCCCATGACCTCTATCCTGTAGCCTCGTGAGATGATGAACCATACCCATTGGTCTCCTGTGAATAGGCTCCAGACATCTTTGAAGGCCTGGAGCCAGCCTCCTATGTGATAATCATGTGGCCTGTTTTTTAAGATGGGTGCCCTTGTCGCTTCTGAATGATGGTGCTTGCTTGGCGTTGGATCGGGCACCATGCTTGAAGGGTCTGTAAGTCTTGTAGTCCCTTCCTTCTCGTCCTCAACCTGAGTTGTGGAAGCCACGAAAGGAGTGATTAGACCTGTGCTCCAAGTCTCTCTCTCGATGGTAGGAGGATGACAGCATTGCCTTCTTTTTCTCCCTTGTTTCCACCAGTACCTTGTTGAGATTTGATTCTCCGAATAGGAGCCTGCCGGAGAACTTTTCGGTGGCTCAATTACTCTTCGATAATGTGTCAACCTTCCAATGGTTGAGCCAAATGTTCTGGCGAATAATGATGTTTGCTGCCTGCACTCTGGCGCAGAACTGTATGTTGTCCTGAGACGCATCCAAGGCAAACTCCGCCGCTCTCCATCTTGAATATGGACCATTTTAGGTCCAGAGGTGAAACTTCTGGTGTCTGCAGGAGGGTATCAGCCCATATGACGATGGCTCTAGTGAAGTTAGAGCTGCTGTGGAGCATATCGCCAGAGACATGGCTTCATGGGCCTTTGTCAGTTAACACTGCCATGTCTTTGGAATGTGTGGGGAGTGATCCTCCTTCCTGGTATACTAACGATATCTACTGTCTGGGTTGTTATCTGTGTATGCTTTTTTGACCTTGGGCTTCCAGCTGCTCCTGATCTGCTGAGAATGAACGGCTCACTTTTCTTCCGCGCGTGTGGGACCATGCACAATGCTTATTGGCTTATGCTTGTAATGGGGGTGCTTTACTATAACTTTGGGTGCCCTGCTGCTTTGGACCTCGAGATGGGCTGGAGGCACATTTTGGACCTCAACATCGTGAATGGGTGGAGGTGGGTCACATCAAAGTCCCTCAGCTTTTGCGTGAGTTCCATCTTCTTTCCCCACAGAAATCGGGGGGAAGGGTTTTAGGGGGGCAGGATGTCAGTTAACACTTTGGAATGTGTGGGGAGTGATCCTCCTAACGATGTCTACTGTCTGGGTTGTTATCTGTGTATGCTTTTTTGACCTTGGGCTTCCAGCTGCTCCTGAACTGCTGAGAATGAACGGCTCACTTTTCTCCCGCACGTGTGGGACCACGCACAATGCTTATTGGCTTATGCTTGTAATGGGGGTGCTTTGAAACTACTATAACTTTGGGTGCCCTGCTGCTTTGGGCCATTTCTGACAAAAACCGTTCAAGTGTCATAGTTATGAACTACCAATAAACAGAATACTTCTTATGAATGTCAGCTATGCTGCCATGGGGGTGGGGAGGTTGGTTGTGTTCTAATTGCTTGTGCATTACTTCTGTGCTTCTTTGCTGCGGCAACGCTTATCTCTAAAGTTCTGCAGGTGGTGATGTTGATGTCTGGCTTTCTCAAGGACCGTGGGAGAGAGTTTGGTTCTCAGCTTCAGTGCTAAACGGCCAAAGCTCTTTCTTCCGTGCGCGGGAGGGCAGCCAATTGGCCAAGGCAGTGGGGGGGGGGATGCATATGAATGCCCTATATCCTATTACGCCCCATGGGCAGCCGCCATTCTTAACAGTGCCTATGTTAATGCATCTATAGCTCTTCAATAAAGTATTACCTTTCCTGAAGGCGTGTACTACGTTGTTGGCTGTGGATTCTGACACTGAAGCGCTGTGTGGTGTGATCTGACTATAGAACCTGACAGCCTTCTTCAATGCTGTCTCATTCTTTCCTGTCCATGGCGTCCTTCAATGCATTCTCTCCATCCTTGGGCAGCACTGCGTCTGAATGCAGAGCCACCAGTGGAGCGTCGATCAGCGGCACCTTTAGATCTTCTATGGTCTCCTCTGGTAAGGAGTACAGGCATTTTGCAATAGACAACAGGGAATCCCCCCCCCCCCAGGAATGGCCGATTCTGCTTTCATGATGTCGTCATCCATTCCATGGATGTCGTCAAAGAAATCAGGGAACGGTGAGAAGGTCTCCACCCTGACTGGCTTTTTGAAGGCTCTGGGGTCAAGGTTTGCGGACGCCGATGATCTAGGCTTCTCCGTCACCTCCATCTGGTAGTTCAGTGTGGAGATGACCTTGGTTAACAGTCTTTGGAAATGCTCAACCTGGAATAACCTGGATGAAGTAGGTTTTATCTCGGTCTCATCCCCTGACCATTCCCCTTCTTCTTTCTCTGTATGACCACCCAACGAAGTGATGGTGGAAGCAATCTCTGCCTGATCAGAACTACAGCTTGAGAGGTGCCCTCTTCTGGGGGTTTCTCTCCTAATCAGCTGTCCCAGTGCCCTGGCTTGAGAGTGGCTGTCCTCTTCGAAACGGCTGGAAACCTAGAGTCTGATGAGGGTCTGGAATCCGAGGAAGAATGGCGCCTCTTCCTTCTCCTTCCCCTGGAGCCCTTTGAGGATGACCTTCCCCTGGACTCCAGGCTTGAATGCCTTGCTGGGGGCTGCCCCGGGGCTGCCACCCCGTCCCCCTGGCTCCCTGCACCATGTATCCATCGAGGGGTTGCCCAAGGACCCCCTAGTAAAGGCCACATCCAGGCAGGACCAGGCTGGAAAGGTGCAGGTATGAGTGGGCCTGAGGCCATGCCACCTGGGCCCTGTGCCGGCTGAAGCTAGTTAGGGAACTGAGGCTTCAAGGGGCCCGCCTGTGCCATGCCGCTAGGGCCCTGTGCCGGCTGAGGGTGGTGCAGAAATTACGGCTGTAAGGGGCCCGCCTGCCCCCATGGTCCTGCCGCCCCAATGCCTGCCCAGGGGCCTAAGCTGTGCCCTTGGATCGGGCCGGCTGCATCTGCAGGGCTGCTCTCCCGGGCCTCCCCATCTGAATGAGTTCACCGTGGGGGCTCGCCGGCCCCTTCTGCTTCCCACGCCGATTCTTCGCTCTGTGGCTGCTGGCTGCCCTGCCAGCTGGTTTTGCTGCCGCCTTCTTCGGGCGCGGGGGGAGCAGGAGCCCACGTGCTTTGACTGCTCAACCCGCCTGACGCCTCCGGCCTCTGTGCCACCATCTTCCTGGGCCACGTGTTGTGTGTGTGTGTGGGGGTGTGCCGGCTCCGCGTGCTCCTCTGATCCCGCACTGCTGGAGCCTCCATGGGACACCTGCCCATTTGTTGCACTCCTGGTCTGCCAAGCCTACTGCTCGCTGACCCCGAAGCCTTGGAGGTAAGGAGCTATTGCTCCATGGAGGCGTCCACCGTGGCCATTACGCCTTCACCCGAAGCCTCAGGTGGTGGAGGGCGCCGTTTCCTCTTCTTTTTTTCCTTGGGCAACTCCTGTCCGACTGTTCTCACCCCTTCAGGGATCCTCTTTCTCCTCCACAGCCTGAAGCAAAGGAGAGGCTGACTGTTTTTTTAAGTTCTCCTTTCCTTCTTCAGTCTTTTTGTTTTTTGGGTTTTTTGTAAGTGCCCTGGCTTGGAGCTGGAGCTCCAGATGACCTACCGAGCACAGGGCTATGTAGGAACTGGAGAGGTCAGCCTTGGTCCCTCCAATAGGAGCCACGGAACAAAAGAAATCTGCATAGCCTATCAAGCGAGCGGAGGCGTGCCCTAACCGGTTCCTGGAGGACTTATCCCCCACTGAAGGAGAAAGGTGGGCATATAAATATGTTAAATAAAAATGAGTGAATATATTAAATGGCCACATGACTCACCGTGACATTGCTGAACATCTCTTTGTCATCCAAGTTTTCATTAATTTCACAGTCAGATTGATTCAGGTAATGATAGCTCTTGGGCTCCAGCAGGCTTAGGGCTTCTGTAGGAAGGCAGTACCCAAAGGTAGAAATGGACCCATTGGATTAAGAGGAACACAAACAGAGAGAAAGGAGAAACATGAGTCACAGACACTCAAGAAGAAGCCACCAGAACTGAATCAATGAAACGTTTCCCCAAAATTGGGACAAGACGCTGTGGGACCAAGAACCTGGGGTGGGTGGATTTACCAGTATAAGCTAATGATTATGAAGATGTGGGAAGGAACTCTAACAGACTACTAAGAATCTCAGAAAAACGCTGTCTGCTGGTGGTGAGGGTAAGCCAAATGGAACACACAAGATGCATAAAATGAAACAGTAGCCCTGAGAAATGGGCTGGTTTCAACTGAAGAAAGGGCACAGGGGGAAAGAGCAACACTTCTTCCCTAGCCCTTACCCAAATCCCCCCCCCTTCAGCTGTTTTTTAAGGCTAAACGACACAGAGAGGGATCCAAGTAGGAATCACTAACGTAACATGCAGTTTGGGCCCAAGTCCCTTTGAATTCTGGGAAATCAGCCTATTCGCCATTTTTATGTGGGGCATTTTTGCTAGTGTGGGCAAGGAGAGAACTACTTCAGGAAATTCCATTACCTTTCTGTTCCCCAGAGACACCAGCTAGCAAGGCATAGAAGATATGATAATTATGTTCTCCCGGGTTCTGATGAACAACTCTGTTCTGAAATTAAAAAAGAATAAAGGGCAACTGACAACCAAGCCCACAACCAGCCAGGAGAGAGTCACAGATACTTAGGCCTGCTCTGAAGGAGAAAGAGCGCAGGTGCTCAGCACCTTGTCCCCTATCCAGGCAATGAAATGCAAGCAGTATTCTAAGCTCTGCTGCTTATATTCATTTTTTAAAAGAATTCAATTTATGTTATTTCGGGTCCACCTTTCTCACTGGGTCTCAAGGCAGATTATACATACTGAGTCAGTACAATCAACAAAATGGGTCATTCAGTAATCAAGGCCTTAGTATTGTAAAAGTCTGGAACCAACCAGAAAGAACGGAAGCATTGCATAAGTATTAATGCGTTAACATTAAACAGTGCAAAAACTGCACAATAGGCTCCTACTTACAATAAGCTATACACAGCAGTATAAACTACAGTCCCATATCATTTATCCAAGCAAGTCTGTAAACCACCGCAACCCTATTACCTGTGCAGAAAAGCCCTTGTGAATAATTCAGTTTTGCATGGCTTGTGGAAAGAGAATGAAAAAGGAGAGTGCAGTCTACAACACCACTCATGATCCGACAGTGTTTACATCCATCTTCTTGATTTTCTTGTACCGAATCATGCCACTTACTAAAACCGCATGCATTTCATACAATCCATGAGAATGGAGCTCTTGCTTTTGATGGCCATTTTCCTGCCACAGCTCCTTCCCCGCTGCAAGTTTCTCTCCTTTTTGTTGAATTTAGCACCGTTGCATCTCTCTACTCATTTGCCTGGATGCTGTGTTGATTTGTTCTGTTAGCAGAAGCTAAAATTCTAACTGCTTTGCAGACTCAGAACCCGGACACTCCATGATCTCAGGGGAAACACAAACCTTATTTTTAAACTCTGCATAAAATGCATGGAAGGTGTAGGGGTGCAATGTCAGTGCACTAGTTCAGATTGCAACCCCCCTCCCCCAGCATTTATTGAGTGAAATAAAAATGGTGAGCATGCAAACCAGGAAAGTGCATGTGATTGGTCAGACACATGAAAATAGCCACACACACCCCTCAAATAATGTCCACTTTGCTCCATTTCCCTTTAGACCTTTACTGCCCACATCCCATACAGGTCTACAGTGAAATGGAACAAACTGAAGCAAAACTGTAGCCCAGGCTCCACTGGCCGTTGCACTCAGCAGTGCTGATGCCATGTGATACTAAAGACAGTGCCGTTCCACCCAGTTGCTGCGATTACAAAAATAGGGGATACAGAGAGCTGAAGACGTGGGAAAGGAGAGGGAGGACACAAGTGAATTTTACTTACCTTCTCTAACAAATCTGAGCAACAAATTAAGGAGGAAGTGATACTAAGGAGAGCCTCTCACACGCTGAAAGGGGGATTCAGCCACAGAATGCCTTTCAGTGCTGCCATCTCCAAATGTTGTGGGCCAGTGTGATGTTTCATTCCTGGATTCTAGAGGCCTAATGAACTACCATTTTCTGGAATAGAGGCCTAAGGAACGGGATGGAGGGTTGGGTGACCATCCCCTTGTGGCAACATAATGGCCATCCCCTGCTGAATGAGTCGCAAGCAGCACACCCAGCTCACCTATCCTACCTTGACCCCAGCAGTTTTGGGGGTGTATGCTGCTGGGGATTAGGGCTGTAGTAACCAAACCGAAGGATACAGTCAGTGACTCTTCCTCCCTGGATGTGTCCATGCTGGGAAAAATGCAGCTGGATGAATTTGCCAAAGCGACTTGAGTTGTTGTTATAGACAGTCTTGGCATTTCCAAAAGCCTCCAGGACAGGGCTAGGGAGGGAAAAAAACAAAGTTTAGTTGTGACACTTGAGAGGCACATTAGGGCAAGTCTGCATGTATTCTAAAACTACGCGGAAGCCTTGGATTTGTTATTAGAAAAGGGTACACTTCAGGTCTTAAGAATACAGGCTTTCAAGTTTTATAGACAAGAATTTAACCCTTCAGGCAATAATGATAGGCCCAAGGGTATGCAGGCAATGCCTGATGCCTCAGAAGCCAATGCGTAGGAAGGCTTCTTCACCCCCAACCATGCACCAGAACCAGCAGCAGTAGAACCAGAAAGAAACACATGCTAATTGTCTAAATGATCAGCATTCAGAGAGGTGGTGCAATTCAGCTTTTACGTCTGTAGAATTCTGCACCAAGTAACCCTGCTTACAGTAGCATTCCCAGGCAAACAGATGGGGGAACATAAGTAGCATACAGTGCAGTCCTAAACATTTACATACTTCTAAGTCCATTCATTTCTATGGCTTTAGAAAGGTGTAGCTCTAGTTTAGGAGTGCACTGTTTCTAGTATTAGGTTTTTGGATAACCCTCTTGTGAGACCAACAGCCTCTTGCTGTGATCTAAACAGATCTTGTTTGTGGCTGTCTGGTTTTCTGTTTCAGCCCCTCTAAAGCCTGCAGTATATATAGCTGGAAGAAATCCTGGGAGAAGCCACTGAAATCTGTGCAATCCACAGAGGTGGGATTTCCCACACTGAATGCAGCAGTATCTCAGGGTACGGTACCTGCCCTACCTGCTTCATATACAATACAGTTTACATCTCAAGTCCATATACCACAATTCAACCAGGAGGCTGGAATGCCAATACAGCCATCAGCACACGGTGTAGTTCTCCTGTGGAGCAACACCTCCAGGACACACACTCATGCCACGTGCACCTGCTCTCCATGATGGCCTCCTCCACATGCGTGCTCTTCTCTGACACGGGGCTACCCAGTGAGGTCTGGCTCATGGCTGACAGGAACTTCATCAGCAACTTGGTGCTCTCTGTCTTTCCAGCTCCACTTTCTCCACTGTGAACAGACACAAAGTCTTCAGGAAAGGACCAACCCAAGTGGTCCTCAACGGTAGGTCTGAGAGGATGGATATGTACAGTACAGATAGCTCCTAGCAGAGGCAATCCGGCTGCTGGGATAGAGGGCCTCGGCAAGGTTCCCCCCCCCCTCACCTGATGAGGATACACTGGCTGTCATGGCGCCTCCACAGGCAGCTGTAGCACTCACTGGCTGTGGCAAAGATATGGGGTGGCAGCTCACCCAGGCAGTGATGTCGGTACAGGTCAATGGTAGCCACATCGTACAGGCCGCTGATGGGCTTATAAGGGTTCACAGAGATCAAGATGGAACCAATATTTGTCTGGGGGAAAATAAGAGGAAGCACAGTGAGACAAGCAAGCAGTTTTTGTCCACCCTGAAACCTGGTTTGCCAGAAGGAAAGGGTGTGTATGAAATCAACATGCAAGCTCAAACCAAAGAACCTAGATCTATGGCAGTAGGGGCTAGAAGCCAGAGGTAAGAAGGTAATTGCAGAGACTGGGATGGATGCTGAAGCACAACAGGTATTGGCAAGAAAGCAGATCCCAGATCCCACCCAGGAGGATTGGTACAGACCCTCTAGCTGCTGTGAAACTGTGGTTCCTCTAGCTGCTGTGAGACCCTCTAGCTGCTGTGAGACTGTGGAATGAGAGGCAGTTTACATATCAAAGCCCCACTTGGAGGCTAGCCATCAAGAACCCCACTCCTTTATGTGAACAGAACATTCCACAGCATTTTACTTCATCTGTTGGCCCCACCACATGCAAGACCTCCACACAAGTACTGCACATTCCTGATGACTGCTGGTGCTGGCATGTAGATGTATACATATTGCTTAGGATCTTTCTGATACCTGCTGTGCTTGTGCAGAGATTAAGCAATAAATCAGTGATCTCCAAGAACCACGGGCAAGTATGTAAATATATTTGCATTGGCCATAACAAAAAAAGAATAAATATCACCCTGAACAAAGCACTGAAAAAATATAAAGACTAATACTATTTAAACTGGAAACCAGCTATTAGAATAACTAAAACAGATTAATAAGAATTTATTCATCCCAATCCAAAGAAAGACATTCACACATGGAAAAATGGGCAAGTGAATTAGGAAGGCATCTGCTGACTTGCGGAGTGCCTCAAGGGGCGGTACTATCCGCAATGTTATTTAACATCTACATGAGCCCCCTAGCCCAGATTGTCCAGAGACATGGACTGGGCTGTCACCAGTACCAGCTCTATCTGTCGTTGGGCGGCTGGTCAGACTCTGGGCTGGAAGATCTGGACCAGGCGCTACAAGCCGTGGCTGGATGGCTTAGACTGAGCCAACTGAATCTGACAAGGACGGAGGTCGCAGAGGTCCGGAGTTAGAGATCTCTCTCCCGGCCTTTGACGGGGCACCATTGGTACCATCGTCGGAGGTAAGGAGTTTGGGAGTGTTCCTGGATGCCTCCTTAACAATGGAGGCCCAGGTAGCAGCCACTGCAAAGTCGGCCTTTTATGATTGTTGGCTGATTAGGCCGTTGGTTCCCTTCTTCGAATATACTGACTAGGCAACCTGAAGGACCGCCTCTTCCCGTATGTTCCCCCAAGAGCACTACGATCGGGGATCCTCCACCTCCTGGAAGTTCCAGGTCCCCGAGAGATTAAGTTTGCCCCTACTAGGGCCAGGGCATTTTCGGTGGTGGCTCCTACCTGGTGGAACGAGCTCCCGGGGGAGATCCGGGCCCTGCGGGACCTTGCGCAGTTCTGCAGGGCTTGCAAGACAGTGCTCTTCCGCCAGGCTTATGAGTAGGAGCCGCCACCGCCACTACCCCACCACCGCGGTAGCGTGTCATCGGCTGCCCCCACTAAAGGGGGGTAAGCATTGCCTGCCAGGAGTTTACAGACAGGGTGTGGGAGACCGCACTATCGAGATAGCTGGCTGCCAAAATTGGGGTGGGTGTTCCCATCTTGGAAGAATTGACATAGGAAGATTACAGCACCGTGATGTAGTATGGATTTTATTGTGGTTTCAAATGTTATTATTCTGTCACATGTTTTATTGTATTTTATATCTCGGCTTTGCCGCACGTGAGCCGCCCTGAGCCTTTGGGAGGGCGGGATACAAATCAAATGATGTTTTTATGATGTTTACTTAATTGTTTATTAACCGTCTATTTGTAATGTAACATTTTATATTGTTTTATTGTTTTACTTGGCACTATGCCCTGTTACTGGACAGTAACAAAAGGCTAAAAGATATGACGCCGGAAGATGAGCCCCTCAGGTCAGAAGGTGTCCAACATGCTACTGAGGAAGAGCAGAGGGCAAGTACAAGTAACCCCAGAAAGAGTGAAGCGGCTGGGCCAAAGCCGAAAGGACGCTCAGTTGTGGATGTGTCTGATGGTGAAAGGAAAGTCCGATGCTGCAAAGAACAATACTGCATAGGAACCTGGAATGTAAGATCTATGAATCAAGGTAAGCTTGACGTGGTCAAAAATGAGATGGCAAGACTGAACATCGATATCCTAGGAATCAGTGAACTAAAGTGGACAGGAATGGGCGAATTTAACTCAGAAGACCATTATATCTACTACTGTGGCCAGGAATCTCGTAGAAAAAATGGTGTGGCCTTTATAGTCAACAAGAGAGTGCAAAAGGCAGTACTGGGATACAATCTCAAAAATGACAGAATGATTTCTGTCCGATTCCAAGGCAAACCATTCAACATCACAGTAATTCAAGTGTATGCCCCAACCACTGATGCAGAAGAGGCTGAAGTGGACCGGTTCTATGAAGACCTACAACACCTCCTAGAACTAACACCAAAAAATGATGTCCTCATCATCATAGGGGACTGGAATGCTAAAGTAGGAAGTCAAAAGGTAACTGGAATAACAGACAAGTTTGGCCTTGGAAAGCAAAATGAAGCAGGGCAAAGGTTAACAGAGTTTTGTCAAGAGAACACACTGGTCATAGCGAACACCCTTTTCCAACAACCTAAGAGGCGACTCTACACATGGACATCACCAGATGGGCAACACCGAAATCAGATTGACTATATAATTTGCAGTCAAAGATGGAGAAGCTCTATCCAGTCAGTAAAAACAAGACCTGGAGCTGACTGTGGTTCAGATCATGAGCTACTCATTGCAAAATTCAGACTTAAACTGAAGAAAATTGGGAAAACCACGAGGCCATTCAGGTTTGACCTAGATCGCATCCCTGATGAATATACAGTAGAGGTGAAGAATAGATTCAAGGGTCTGGATTTGATAGATAGAGTGCCTGAAGAACTATGGACAGAGGTTCGTGACATCGTACAGGAGGCAGCAATCACCACCATCCCAAAGAAAAAGAAATGTAAGAAAGCAAAGTGGCTTTCTGATGAGGCTTTACAAATAGCAGAGGAAAGAAGGAAAGCGAAAGGCAAAGGCGAAAAGGAAAGATTTACCCAACTGAACGCAGATTTCCAGAGAACAGCAAGGAGAGATAAGGAGGCCTTCCTGAATGAACAGTGCAAAGTAATAGAAGAAAACAATAGAATGGGAAGGACTAGAGATCTCTTCAAGAAAATTGGAGAAATCAAGGGAGCGTTCCATGCAAAGCTGGCCATGATAAAGGACAAAAACGGTAGGGACCTAACAGAAGCAGAAGAGATTAGGAAAAGATGGCAAGAATACACAGAAGAACTATACAAGAAAGACCTCGATGTCCTTGACAACCACGACGGTATAATCACTGACCTCGAGCCAGACATCCTGGAATGTGAAGTTAAATGGGCCTTAGAAAGCATTACTAACAACAAAGCTAGTGGAGGTGATGGTATTCCAGCTGAGCTATTCAAAGTCTTAGAAGATGATGCTGTTAAAGTTCTGCACTCCATTTGCCAGCAAATTTGGAAAACGCAACAGTGGCCACAGGATTGGAAAAGATCAGTATACATTCCAATCCCAAAGAAGGGCAATGCCAAGGAATGTTCAAACTATCGCACAATTGCACTCATATCACACGCTAGCAAGGTCATGCTCAAGATCCTACAAGCTAGGCTTCAACAGTACGTGGATAGAGAACTACCAGAAGTACAAGCTGGGTTTCGAAGAGGTAGAGGAACTAGAGATCAAATTGCCAACATTCGCTGGATTATGGAGAAAGCAAGAGAGTACCAGAAAAATATCTACTTCTGCTTCATTGACTATGCTAAAGCTTTTGACTGTGTGGATCACAACAAACTATGGCAGGTCCTTAAAGAGATGGGAGTACCAGACCACCTCACATGTCTCTTGAGAAACCTGTATAAGGGCCAAGAAGCGACAGTTAGAACCGGATACGGAACAACTGATTGGTTCAGCATAGGAAAAGGAGTACGACAAGGATGTATACTGTCACCTTGCTTATTTAATATATATGCAGAGTACATCATGCGAAATGCTGGCCTGGATGAATCACAAGCGGGAATTAAGATTGCTGGGGAAAAGATCAACAACCTCAGATATGCAGACGATACCACTCTAATGGCAGAAAGTGAAGAGGACCTAAAGAGCCTCTTGCTCAGGGTAAAAGAGGAGAGCGCAAAAGTGGGCTTGAAGCTCAACATCAAAAAAACTAAGATCATGGCATCCGGCCCCATCACTCCTTGGCAAATAGAAGGGGAAGCTGTGGAAGTAGTGACAGACTTCACGTTCCTGGGATCCCAGATCACCGCAGACTGTGACTGCAGCCATGAAATTAAAAGACGCCTGCTCCTTGGGAGGAAAGCGATGGTGAACCTAAACAGCATGATAAAAAGTAGAGACATCACCCTGCCAACAAAAGTCTGCATGGTCCAAGCAATGGTATTCCCAGTAGTCATGTATGGCTGCGAGAGTTGGACTATAAGGAAGGCCGAGCGCCGAAGAATAGATTCTTTTGAACTATGGTGCTGGAGAAGACTCTTGAGAGTTCCTTGGACTGCAAGGAGATCAAATCAGTCAATCCTCAAAGAAATCAACCCTGACTGTTCCCTGGAAGGCCAGATAATGAAACTGAAGCTCAAATACTTTGGCCACCAAATGAGAAGGGAGCACTCACTGGAGAAGACCCTGATGCTGGGAAAGATTGAAGGTCAAAGAAGACGGGGACGGCAAAGGATGAGATGGTTGGACAGTGTCATCGACGCAACGAACATGAAATTGAGCCAACTTCAGAGGACAGCGGAAGACAGGAAGGCCTGGCGGGAGCTGGTCCATGGGGTCGCGAAGAGTCGGACTCGACTGTGCGACTGAACAACAACAACAAATGCCCTGTTAGCCGCCCTGAGCCTTCGGGGAGGGTGGGATAGAAATCCAAATAAATAAATAAA